CCCCCTGAGGATGAGGAATTGCTTAAAGAGATAGGAACCCTTCTAATAAAAGGAGGCAGTCCTACAGAGGGACTGAATGTCACAAATAAATCCAGGAATTCCATTACATCTATGAGTAAGGTTGAAGCTATACCCTTTGTGGTAGACAGATACCATAGGACTAAAATTGGCATTTTCTCTGGATGGGAATCATATCTCCAGGAGAACAATATTAAGAGACATGGGTTGGACAGGCAAGACTGAACCTGGAACGCTGAACCGGACAAAGTAATAAGCTGCAGAGAACCTAAGGTGGATAGCTACTTTCGTTGTTCAGTCATTTTTCAGTTGTGTCTGAATCTTTGTGAACCCGTTTAAGGTTTTCTTGGCAAAGATTCTGGAGTGGTTTGCCATTTCCCTCTCCAAGTTACTTTGCAGATGAGTAAACTGAGGCAAACAGGGTTGAATGACTTGCCCAGAGTCACATAAATGTCTGAGCTAACATATGTGAAGTACTTTGTATACTTTAAAAGCACTATATAATTGCCAGGTGTCATCATAGTTGTCATCATCATCATCGCCATCACCATCATCTCATCATCATGATCATGATCACCGTTATTGTCATCATCACCATTATCATTTCAGAATGTCAGTGCTTAAAAGGAGGTCAGTGTTAATGATAATAGACTGTGCTTTGTATCCCTAAAATAGTACTCTCTCTCTCTTTTTTTTTTTTAGTTGAGGAATAGTCTAAATCTTGACAAGAACACTAGTACATCTTGTTGCATTTGAACATTAAGGTAAACTGAGAGACAATGGTCTGAGCATGGTCAATTTATTAGTTAGGTTAGCAGTAACCAATAAATTGGGTCAATGGGATCTTTCAATGTAGGCACTATATAAATGTTAGCTATTATTATGTAAAGCCCTCTCAAGGTTATTTATCACAACCATCTACTGTCCATAGGAGAGCTGGTTGGACTCTCTAATGAGCAGGTGGAGAGAATTGATGAACACTCGCGTAGGCAAAGGCAGAGAAAAAGAGACTGTGTACCAGGTGTACAAAGATGTTCTGATTCAGCTATGGGAGCTGAAAGTGATAATCCAGTAAAGATTGTGTATATTATTACAAGGCAGGAGAATTGAACCTAGAGGCAACTCTTCTCCTGCCCCAAATTGCTATAGAGACTCCTAGGGAACAGATTCAACCCAAAGAACAGGAATAACTAGTAATCAAATGACATGCCAGCCTGAGTATAGACACACAAACTTACAATGATCCTGATGGTCAGCCCATACCAACTCTTAGCTCTGGTATAGGAGCAGAGAGATCCGTTGGCGATAAGAGAACTAAACCTATCAATCTATTCACTAGGCTGAGTTATGATGATACAGGTAAACCTAAAGATATAGCTACGCATGTATCTGGGTGTCAATATGAAATGTCTCGAATGCAATTGCATATTAAAATTGTACATGTGAATTGCTGCACGTTTGAATATGCTTATTTCTTATTTTGCTATTATATTCATTTGACTATGCATTATGTTCATGTATAGCAACATGTTTGTTAATTTTATATATTTGCTAATGCATATAGATTAGCTGTATTTTATATATAAGCCTATTGATAGTGTTATTGTTGCTGGTTTTGTTTTTTTAGCTATCTAGTTTTGTTTTTTAATTAGCCATTATTGTTGCTTTTGATTTGTATACTCTGGATATGCGGGCATTTTTGAAATGTGTGTGTGTTATATCCTATATATATTTAGGCATGTAGTAGTCTCTGAGGTGATAGAATATGTAATGCCACGTCTGTTTCATGAACTGTTAATGCACATTTGTTTTATTTTATTTTATTTTATTTTCACCACCCCAAAGGTTGGTTACATAAGACACCTGGAAAATTACTCTTCTTGTTTTAGAGCACTGATGTTTGTGTTTATACTATATAGTTACAGATGTCAAGCTCGTCCAGGCTGATGTTTGTAAGGGAGTGCAAAGAGTTTCAGTCCAAGGGAGGAATGTAACCCTTGGCTCAAAGGGCCAATTGGATGGGACTCTCTCCTCATTGATGAAGACTGATTATGTAATGCCCTATGCCTGCATGAGGGATGGAGCTGGTGAGAACTGGAGAGAAGAGAGATCTGGTGTCTCTTTGCTTCCAGCTTTAAGAGAGAAGGCACGCTGTTCCGCCTCTCTTCAGGTCCCTGAAGGAGAAAGTCACTGGGAAGAAGTAGTTTTTAGAAGAGCTGGCAGTCTCCACCACGTCCATATTCTCTGATTCTTATACTAGACACATCAGAGAATTTCCCAATGAGTGAGATCTGGGACTCTTGGTTAAGCTGAGTTATCTTACTCCCAAAGGGAGAGTTCATTCACTCTGTATGCTGTCTGGTATATAGTCTCAGATGAATACTTTTTCTGATTTCTGTTTTTGCTATGGACAAATGGGCTTATTTGCTATTTGCATTCATTGTAGAGCTAGCATCTGGTGGGAAGGGAGTCAAGCTTTGGTTGGATATATAGGTTGGGGTGGACACCAATCAGGAATGCAGTTTGAACCTAAAATGACTTCCACTAAACTAATAAAATTTAAGGGAGTAGATAGATATAATTCTAAACTGGTACCTCTTCTCTCTGAGGACAGTTGAGTTGCCAGGCCCCAACCTCCTGCTTCCTTTCTTGGCAAGAATCAAAGTCTCCCTTGGAAAGATTTATGTCACTGTAAATCACATGTAGACAGATTCATATGACATGTATAAACCACCTAGGCAATACCCCCCATATATATTTAAAAAACTGAGTACATAACAGAAGTTCATGATTTCATATGCAATCCTCATTTTTGTTCTTTGAATGTTGAACTGTTTGTGTTTGATTAATATTAAATTCATACTAAAAATAAAGAAAAAAATCAAGATAGCTTATTTGAGAGAGACACAGTGGTTAGAAGGGAGGGTTGGGATATGCGCTGAAGGGATACAATTTTTACAGAAATGTGTCTACACCTACCGTAGGAAGGGTTTTTTGGGTGATATTTCTGTGTGGGGCAATTTGTGTGTGATGGGAAACTTGGCAGAAAAGGATTTTCACTTAGATCATTTTAGCTTAATAGAGAACCTGGCACATGGTAGGTGCTTAATAAAAGCTTGTTTTATCGATTGGGCCTTGACAATGATATTAGTTCTCATTGCTTCCAATCAGGCTGGTGTGTTGTGGCTCTGACTGAATGGGGCCCCTTCATAGGGAAGGAAAGTCTATGACTGTCACTCTTTCTACAGTAATAGAAGTCTTGCCTACCAGCCAGCAAGGAATGAACTTAGGAATTGCATCCATGGAAATAGTCCAGACCAGGAAAAGAAATAAGCTCTAGACATTCCTGGTTGGTAGATCCTTGAGGGGACTATAGGACACTGGCAGCTGATCCCTGCAATGAGAAAAAGTATCAGAGAGGGTCACAGGGCATCTGATCTTGTTCCTTACTCAACTCTCCAGATTCCTTGTGAGAGTCTGAGATCAAGAAAATCAGGAGACAGACTGTTAATAATGATACCTGTAAATATGAATTTATTAATAATGATTTAATCTATTAATAATCATGATAACTCACATTTGCATTGAATTTTAAGGTTTGTAAAGCGTACTTTCAAACCACCCCATGAGATAGATAGTGAAATAATTATTACTTCTATCTTAAAGATAAAGAAACTGAGTCTGTGAGGTCATGTGACTTAACCAGGGTGACAATGGGAATAAATCTGTGAATACTTGTGGTCCTTGCACTGACTCCAAGGCCTTTGTACAATAATTAATGACGCACCACTAATACATGGGGAGATGATCTTCCCATATCCAGGAAGAACCTTTACTAAGGAAGGGGAAAAATACAATTTATACTTTCCCCACCTCTTCTTCAAATCGCTATTTTGACATCTGGGGAAATATATTTGTTTATTAGAACTTGAACCCTGTACAATACATATTATACATGGAGTATACCAAAAAGGTTTTTTTTTGGGGCAAAGTAGACTGATGAAAGCAAGATAATAATTAAAAGTAATAACTGACATTTACATAGGGCTTAATAGTTTGCAAATTGATTTACATAGGTTAATTTAGGTAATGCTCATAGCAACCCTATGATGTAGGTATGGTGGATATTATCTTCTCCATTTTACAGATAAGGAAACTGAGGCTCAGAGAGGTTAAAATGACTTGTCCATGGCCACACAGCTAGTGTACACTGGAGGCAGGCTGCTAGCCCAGGTTTTCCTGTCTGAGAAGTTGTATAGGATTTCCTATTCTGTATAGCCCACTGGATTCCCATCGACAAACTTGTGCTACTAGGACAGTGCCAGCTGCTTGAGAAATTCATTGAAATAGGATTCCAACAATAATCCTAACATTTCTATTAATGCTCAAAGTTTTAAAAGTCCTTTTGTATCCATTATCTCATGTAGTTCTTTGAGGAGGGCTAAGTAGGGATGATTGCCTCCATTTTAAAGATGAGAAAACCAAGCCCTGAAGAAGTAAAATTTTTTTTGCCCAAGGTCACAAAGCTAATGAATGTTGGGGCGAGGACTTGAACCCAGGTTTTCTGACCCCCAGTCCAGGGTTCTTTCCATTAGACCACACAACTTTCGGACATTGTAATCTCAGTTGTTGAGGTATTCTGGTTGGGGAAAAGGGACACGAGCACATTTACAGAAGTGCATAGAAACACAAAAGAGGTCACAAATGATGTGAACAGGCAGAGGATGCTCTAGGCACAGTCTAAGGACTGGAAGGTACAGGAGGCCCAAAATGTCTGGGCATGGGGGACGGAAGAATAACCAGAAAGTTTTCCTGAGGCAGAGATAGTTTTCAAAAGAGGTGAGGAATGGGGGCTTGGAAGAGAGAAAGCAGGAAGGGCAGTCTAGTTAGGACTGGGTGAAAACTCTGACTTAGTTTGTGGGTAAGTCACAGAGCCCAAGCAGTCCAATGCTTGTTGATTAGATGGTTGATGTAGGTGGGGGCCAATGAGCAGATACCTCAAGCCTCTCTCATGGTTCCAAGGCCTCCAGCCCAGACTCCTGGCATCCTATCAAAGCTGACCCTTCCAGGGTGTGAAGAATGAGAGGAGCCTCTCCTTGATCTGTTTGGTGCGGGCACCATAGATGAGTGGGTTGAGGGATGGGGGCAGCAGCAGGTAGACATTTGAGAGTAGAATGTGCACTGGGCGGGGAACGGTTCTGCGGCCGAATCTGTGTGTGAGATAGGAGAAGAGGCCAGGCACATAGAAGGCCAGGATGACACAGATGTGAGAGCTGCAGGTACCAAAAGCCTTGGCCCGGGCCTCATGGTGGGTGGGCAGCCTCAGCACAGTGTGAGCAATGAGAATGTAAGAGCCTGCAATGCCCATTACATCCATGCCCGATACTGCCAGAGACAGTGCCAGCCCATACAGGTTGTTGGCCCTTGTATTGCCAGCTACCAGTTCCACCACTGCCATGTGTTCACAATAAGCATGGGCCACGGCCCTCATCCAGAAATGCTTGAATCGGGCCACCAGCAATGGAAAGGGCACCACGATGGCCACAGCCCGCAACCCCAATGCCACAGCTATCCAACCCACACGGGCACCTGTGACCAGGGTTGGATAGCGTAGTGGGTTCCCCACAGCCACCGCACGGTCACAGGCCATGGCTAGTAAGACACCTGATTCCATGGCAGTCAGGGCATGGACAAAGAACATTTGGGCCAGGCAGGCAGCGTAGGGGATGGGCCGGGGCCCAAGCCACAGGATGGCCAGCAGCCCTGGGGCCACAGAGGAGGCCAGGCCCAGATCAGTGGCAGCCAGGGTGGCCAGGAGGAGAAACATGGGCTGATGCAGAGTAGTATCTACCTTCACCACAGCCAGCAGAGCTGCATTGCCGAGCAGAGCTAGCAGGTACATGGAGCCAAAGGGCAAGGAGAGCCAGGCACTCATGGTGCCCAGCCCTGGGATGCCTGTTAGCAGGAAGGAAGCTGGGCAGGGGAAGGTGTTGTTGGACAGTAAGGACTGCTCTGTCATCCCTGATTGTGGCTGGAGGCTGAAATTAGAGGAATGAAAGGAAAGACTACAGAAGAGATGCTGGATTGGGACTCCACGCTGGGGTGGGGGTTAAGTGTCAGTTCTGGAGAGCCCATGACCTTGGGCTGTGAGGGCTGCCTGGGTTCTGAGGTGTCCTGTTTCTGTGGGAAGACAAAGAATGTGAGAATGGAAAATGGATGAGATGAATGGTCTCTGTTCAACTTTAGAGAAATCTAATACTTAAGACCTCCAGGGGTTCATGCTAATTTGCCAAATTAAGGGCTGCTCCAGGGTGGATGGGGTGGGAGCACAGAGTAGGGTCTACAACGATCAATGCCCAGGTCTGGGAAACCACTATTGTTCTCCTTCTCCACTCTTGCCCTTGAATTACTGATTGTAACTGAAGGAAGTTATGGAATTAGTCTTGATTGTTAACGTAATAAATTCATACCTTTTAATCTTATCTGGGTCTGTACTGCTGCTTGGCAATCCTTTTTGTCATATTCTACTCAGATTTCCCACCGAGGTTGTTCCTAACCTTCATTTTCCTTAAAGAATCTCACCCTGAGGGCAGCAAGAGCCCTGGCCCTGGAATCAGGAGGACCTGAGTTTAAAGACAGCCTCAGACACTTACTAGCTGAGTGACCCTGGGCAAGTCACTTAACCCCAATTGACTCACAAAAAAAAAATCTCATTCTGCTCCTGGACCCTCAGTCTTAGCATGATCAGCTTCTTTACTGAGAATAAAGAGGCCGTCAGAGACTAATTTTCTCAAATATTCTTTCTTCTCCCTTCATATCTCAAAACTCTTCTGTTTGCTCCCATTACTTTCCTCCTTCCTTCTGGTCTCAGAAAATAAGGTAGCCTTCCTGGCCTTGTCAAGGCAAATTTCTTCATCTCTGCCTTCAAGACTATCATTTCCTGTGTTCTTCAGGACCTAGATCCATTAATCGTCCTACAACTCTCTCCAAGCCCCTACTGCCTAACTTATTCTTTCAGTAGAGCAAGCCTATGGGACAACCATTTAAATACTTGAATTTAGCCACCATGTTCCCTTGAGTCTTCTTTTCTCTGGGCTGAACATCCCCAGTTCCTTCAACAGATCCTTGTAAGGATCCTTGTCTCCTATCCTTTTCATCATCCTTAGTGTCTTTTGGATGAGACCCAATTTTATTTCAAAAAAATCTCATTTCCAGAACTGAAAAGAATACTCCAGATATGTCTGATCAGGGTAGAGTATATGCAAGATGATTACCTCCCTTGTTGTGGACATTACACCTTTTTTTTGAAGGCACTGAGTATTGTGCCATGACTCATATTGTATTTTCAGTCTAATAAAACTCCTAAATCTTTTTTTCGCATGAATTATTGCCTATCCATGATAACCTCCTACCCAAATTCTGTATTTGTAAGTTGTTTTTATGAACCTAAGGGTAGGGATTTTACACAGGGTGTCCCAAAAGTCATAGTTCAGTTGTAAGCTTTGGTAGCTTAAAACTACACTAGGATGCTCTGTATTTATTCCTGAAAATTTAATCTTTTTTTGCACTGGAAAAGAATTATGGAGCTGGATGAGAAAAGCCAAATACTAGGCTAAGGAGTTTAAATTTTGTCTTCTAGCTAATGGGTAGCCTTTGAAGACTTTTGAGCAGGGGTGTGACATGGCCAGACTTATGTATCATGAAGAACATTTTGGCAGTTGTGTGAAAGATGGACTGAAGAGAGGAGAGATAAGAGACATGGAAGCTACAATAATCTCCCAGGTGATAGTCTATGAGGGCTAAAACCAAGGTGCTGCCAATGTATATGGAGAGGAAGGAACAGAAAGATATTGGTGATGTAGGAGGAGGGAAGAGGAAAGGGTAACACTAAGGTTTCCAACCTGATTGACTGGGATGATCAATAGTGCTATCAACACTTATGAATGTGAGGAGGAGCAGGAATAGGTTTTTGGGTGGAGAAAAAGAAGCTGAATTCAGTTTATGACAGATGAACAGAAATCAGAACTGGAAGGGACTTCAGACACCATTTAGTCTAACGCATTCTGATACCTTCTGTAACATCCAGACCAGTGGTGCATCACGTCTCAGGCTGAAGATCTTCAGTGAGGTCTACTCCTCTTTTGCACATCCCTAATTGTCAGGAACTTTTCCTTCCATCAAGCCTAAATCTACTTTGCAACTTTCACCTATTTATCCTGCTCCTGTCCTCTGGGAACAAGCAGAACAAGTTTAATTTCTCTTCTGTATTATATCCCTTCAAGTACTTGAGGACAATTCTCATGTCTCTTTAAAAATTTCTCTTTTTTAGGCTAAACATCTACATTTTCCTCACCTCTTCCTTGAGTGGCATGGCTTCCAGTCCCTCCACCATTCTGGTCATTCATTTGTCTCTGGATGCATTTAAGTTTGTCAATGTCTCTGCTAAAATATGCATCCAGAACTAAGCATGATATGTTACACATGGTTGACCTAGGCACACTCCACTGCCACCATCACTTCCCTCATCCTGGCTGCCATGGCTCTTTTAACATAGTCTAAAGATCATGTTAGCATTTTTGTTTGTAGTATCATGCTGCTTACTCATTTTGAACTTGCAGTTATCAAAGCACCCAGGTCTTCTGCACACGAACTATTATATTGCGATAATACTGAATCCCCAGTGAGCATCTGTACAGTTAATTTTTTGAACTGAGGTGTAGTAATTTACATTTCTCCCTATTTAACTCTACCTTTACTAGATTTAGCCCATAGTTATGGCCCATTGAGATCTTTTTAGACTTATATTCTTCCACTCAATATATTAGCTATCCTTCTCAGTTTTGAACCATCTTCAGATTTTATAATCATGCCATGTATGTCTCCAACCAAGTCAATGATAACAGTGTTTAACAATATAAGGCTAAGGATAAATCCCTGGGGCACTCAATTAGTGAATTCTTTCTGAGTTGGATATATCCATTATTCACTTGTTTTGGTTATAATAGTTCAACAAGTTCTCCAAGCCATATAACTATACTATCAGTTAGCCAATATCCTTCTATCATGTTCAAAAAGTTATTGTGAGAAATCTTATAAAATACCTTACTAGTATACATGACAACTTGGTGGTACCCTAGATCAGTGACATTCCTCATTCTACCAGTCTAGTGATCCTGCTCAAAAAAAAAAATGCAGTTAGTTTGGCTAAGATCTGTTTTTGATGAAGGCATGCTTTCTCTTAATGATCATCACTTTCCATTTTAAGTGCCCATAAATCCATCACTTTCATAGTACTTTCTAGAATTTTGTTGTATGAGAATTGAAGTAAAGCTTTCCAATTTATATCTTGAAGACAACTCTTTTCATGTTATTCCCACTTCTTTTGCACCTCTCCTTTTCTTCTGCCTTGTACAGACTGATAGATTGATATTTCAGGTACGGGTCTAATCATGTCCCTCCCTTGCTCAAAAACTCTTCAGTCCAAACCCCACCCGCCCCATACTGGCAAAATGAAGTCCAAATTGTGCAACGCTGACCTTTGATGTGCACTATGAACCATCCCCTCTCTGCCTTTCAGATTTATCACATACATCTCAAATTCATAGGATTTAGGGGATTTAGAATTGAAAGGGACCTCAGCAATTGTTTATTCCAATTCCTTCATTTTATAAATGAGGATACTGAGGCCAAGAAAAGTGAAGTAACTTGCAGAAGGTCACTGGTAGTAAGTGTCAGAGTCAGGATTCAAATTAAGGCCCCCAACTCCAAATTTGTGCTTGTTTTGACTTTTACCTTACGGTCATTTTTAGTTGTGTCTGACTCTGTGGCCCCATTTGAGGTTTACTTGGCAAAGATACTGAAGTAGTTTGACACTTCCTTCTCCAGCTAATCTTATAGATGAAGAACTGAGGCAAACAGGGTTAAGTGACTTGCCCAGGGTCACATGGCTACTAATGTCTGAGACTGGATTTGAACTCTGGTTCTCCTACTTTGAACTCACGTTCTCCTGACTCCAAGCCTGGTGCTCTATCTACTGCATCACCTAACTACCTTTGTTCTGACTATACCATGTTACTTTCCCTGGTTCATGCCAGTCACCATTTTTGGCTCTACCATTTAGTATCTTTTTGAATTTGGACAAACTGCATCTCTTTGGAGTCCAATTTCCTCATTTGAAAAAAAAAAGCAGAATAGATTAAAACGACTTCTGTTCTCTCCCAGATCCCACAATCTAGGTCTAGATAATCATGAAATCAGGTTATCTACCAGGGATCTTTCCATTAATTCAGTTCAGCCTCCTTCTTTTACAGATAAGGAACCTGAGGTTGCTAGAGATAAAGTTATTTGCTCAATATCACTCAGCTGGTTGCCAGACCAAGCTTACTGGACTGTGTTGATGATGTTCAAGGCTGTTTCTCCAAAATATCTAGTTCTAATTGTTATAGAAAAGAACAAAGATGTATCAGGAGAGGAGATAGGAGCAATAAGCTATAAGAGGGAAGAAATAGCAGGACTCAGTGAGAGGAGAGGGAGTGGAAGGATAGGAGAAGAAGAAATGGGAAGGTTAAGAAGCTATGAGCCTTAGGGCAAACCTGGGAAACAATCCTGCTTAGGTGAGGGGGTTAGTGTCAGCTAGGACTGAAGGCTGAGGTGACCCTTCTTGGCCTTAACTCAGGAATGATCTAGACAAGAGCCAGAATGGACCTGATTCATAGAATGAATTGGAATCCATAGAAATTGGAAGGAAATGCAGAGGTCGTGGGATCATAGGAACAGACCTAGAAGGTACTTTGGAGGTCACCTAGTCCAACATTTTATAAATGAGGAAACTGAGGCCCAGGGGGTCAGGTGACTAGCTCAGGGTCATTCAGGTGATGGGCATCAGAAGTGGAATTCAAAGTCAGGCCCTCTTATTCCAGAGCCAGAGCTCTTTCCATTATATGTCCTCTATAACACCCAAGCTGACTTGTTCTGCTTAGCACCTAAGGGCAGAACTAGAAACAGTAGGTGGAAGTTGCAAAGAGACACAACACAATTAAAGTTGATGTTAGGAAAAACTTTCTAAACATTTCATTGTTCAGTTGTGTATGACTCTTCATGACCCCATTTGGGGTTTTCTTGGCAAAGATAATGGAGTGGTTTGCCATTTTCTGGTCCAACGCATTTTGTAGATGAGGAAACTGAGGCAAGCAGGGTGAAGTAATTTGCCTAGGGTCACACAGCTAGTAAGTGCTGGAGGCCAGATTTGAAATTGGGTCCTCTTGACTGAAGGCCACCTAGCGGCCCTTCTTAAAATTTGTGTGATCTCAATGTAGAACTGGCTGCCTTGGGGGGTAGTGGATTTCTAGTCAATTGAGGCCTTCAAGCAA